CCTGCAGCCAAGACTCTTAAGGAGGCCCCGGGGAGTCTGAGGGCAAATCCTACCTCTGCCTTTATAAAGGGGCCTGAGGAGAGGTGCTGGGGCTCTTCTGGAGCCCTCATGGGGGAGGGGGGACAGAGGCAGTTCTGCCAGTGTTCTCACAGACCTGCAGCTGTTCCACCCTGCCCCTGCCACCGTGAAGACCCAGCTGCCTGTTCCAGTCTCTGCGCTGCTGAGCCCCTCTCTCTCCAGTGCACTTGAGGACCCCCACCCCTCACACTGCTCTCTCACATTCTTCCCTCTCATTCTCTCTCTCTCACACATATTCTCTCTCTCTCACACACACACTTCTCTCATACTGTATCTTTAATTCACCCTCAATATAGTCTTTCTCTCACACTACATCTCTTTTCTCTCCCACATATAGCCTTCTCTCTCTATCACCCGTCTTTCACGCATTCCTTCCCTCTCTCTGTTTCTCTCCCTACACCTCCCCTGGTGCATAACTGGAAACAAATTGAGTTTGTTGTGACCGGTGGGGAAGAGGACGTTTGGAGGCAGTGGCCAGGGCGGCAGCAGCAGAGACAGGCTGGGGCCAGAAGCCGTGCCGACAGCCGGAGACCTCAGTGCTCAGCTCTTCCAGGGAGCAGGTAATGCCCCAGACAGGGCTGGTTCAGGCGTCCTGCTCTCTGCCCTGTCTCATCTCCCTATTGGTTGTTCCATCTCTTTGTCTTCCTATCTGGCCTTTAACGGGAAGGGGATTCCAAACTTAGGGAAGAGTAGGCACAAGGATCCAAGGAGTAAGGTGCCCTCCTCGTCAGAGAACTGTGTGTGGTGGTTAGGGTCCAGGATATCTGGGATTGGAGGGAGGGTGCTGGGGTATCTGGGGTCAAGGGTAACTGGGTTCCAGGGCATCTGGCTGAGAAACATGATAGAACCTAAAAAGACCGGTAAGGGCCAGATCACAAGGGATGTTTTGGGCCAGGTCAGTGACCCTAGGCTCTAGGTAATACAGAGCCATTGAAGGCTTTTCACCCGGGGGGTAACCTGATCAAACCTACATTTTAAAAGAGTTGTTCTAGAACTCTGATTGCTGTGTCCTCTCAGAATCAGTCATAGGCTTCTCCCAGTGTAAAGAAAAAATAAGGTTATTTGTTCAATTGTTAGTTTTCTATAAAACTTTAACCTTTGATGTCTGCTAGCAAGTGTCAGCAATCCATAACCCAATGAAAAGATGATGTTTAAAGTAATAGAAAAATTCAGAAATAAAATTCATTTAAATGAGGCAGATTGAGCTATATACAGATAAATTAATAATTTCTGCTAAGTAAAATTATTTCTAACTCAAATGCAAAATATTTTATGGTGCTGCTCAAAGAGCACCATGACTCCCAGGAGTGTGTCATGTGAATATGTTTGAAATGTTTTAAAGGCAAACTTGGCTGCCACATAGGGAATAGGGTGGATCAGGCAACCAGAGGCAGTAGTGGCAGCAGGAGGCTTTTGCAGCAATAGGAATGGGAAATAATGAGAACCTGAGCCAAGATGGTGGCAATGGGTAGGAAAAAAGGGAGACAGCTGAAAAATATTTAGGAAGCAAGGGAAAGAAGTTAGTGTCTGATTGGACATGAACAGTGAGACAGAAAGAGGCTTCAAGAATGAGTCCGGTATTTCTTAGCTGAATGGCTGGAGAGTTAGGGTTGCTATTATTCAAAACAGAGAATGGCAGGCATAAAGGAGTTGTTTTGAATATATTGAGGTTGACTTGAGGAGGCTGCAGAACTCCCACATGGAATAATCCAGTTGACAGTTGGAAATGTTCAATACAGGCAGGGCCCAGAGACATGGGTGACCTTATCTACAGGGTGACACCATAAAGAACACAAGATGGCCCAGGAAGAGCGTAGAAGGAGAAGAGAGAAGAAGTTTAATGAGAAATCTTGGGGAAGACTAAGATTTAAGTGAGACAGGCAAGAGGGGTCAGGGGAAGATATTAAGGATTCCTTGAAGAGGTAGGAAAAAATATCAAGAAAGTGTTGTTACAAGAGCTAAGAGTAGCATTTCAGTTCAGGGGGAGCAGTCAGCACCACTGATGCCCCAAAGAGATAAGCCAGACCTGTTGGTTTGATTGGTTTTATTACTTTACTCGTTGAGAATAAGATAACAAGAGCGATCTGAGGGCAGAGTTATAAACTCAGGTGCATAACATAAATGAGATTAGCAGAGTTGAGTAGGGAGCAGTGGGGACCGTGGCAAACTACAATGCATATGCCCATAACATTGCGTGTCAACAATACTCAGATAAAAGAACTTTAAAAAATGCATATTCCCACCTAAAGAAGGCAGCTATCATTCAGCTTTGGTTAATTGTTGCCAAGCAGGAATGTAGGCACAGTCGTCAGAACATCTGAATTTTCAAGAAAAGTCAGAAATGTGGATTATTATATGAAATCCCACAATTCTTTATGTTAGCAACAATTTCAAAAACTTTTATACTCTGTGAGAGCTGAACTAAACACATCTTTGAGCTGCCAGTTGAAGTCTCTGCCTTAGTCAATGTCCTTTAGAGTAGTGGGATTGAACCAGTTGGAGCAGTTTGGAAAGTAATTGGGTAAGGAGGAAATGGAGACAGTAAGTGCTGACTATTCCTTCAAGAAGTTGGGGGGAAAGGCAAGCAGGAGAGCTGGGAAGGCAGGCAGGGTCATGGAAGAGTGTTATAGGGTAGGAAGAACTATTTATAGGCTAGGAGAAAAAGAGTGGAGAGATGAAGACCAAGGTAAGCAAAGGCTTGTTGATAAAATAATGATCCAGCAGAAGGGAATGAGTGGAGCCAGAGATTAAGTTGGAGGAAGGACTCCTTTGTTCAAAAATGGACTACAAAGTGGTAAGGGTACAGAACTAGAAGGGAGAAGGTGATGAATCTCACATCTAGAGGCCTTTATTTCCTTGGTGAAGTGGATAGGAAATGGATCAAGAGGCTTGAAGGGAGGAGCAAAGGTTAGGAATGGCATCAAGGGACATGGGACATGGTGCTAACAAGGATGAGTGGGAGGTGGCTACACTTCTGAGACCTGCTGAGGGTGGAAATACTTCATTTTCTTTTTTTTGTTTTTAAAATTTTGTAATGTTTATTTATTTTTGAGAGAGAGACAGAATCTAAAGCAGGCTCCAGTCTCCAAGCTGTCAGCACAGAGCCTGATGCGGAGCCTGAACCTACGAACCACGAGATCATGACCTGAGCCGAGGTTGGATGCTCAACCAACTGTGCCACCCAGGCACCCCAAAAATCTTTCATTTTCACCATTGGGTGGGGCTCGTGAGCCTGGGTGCTGGGGTTGGTAGTAAAGGGGATCAGCACCTGTTACATTCTAGGCCCCATGTCATGTGTCTTATTCTCCTTATCTGAATCTCCTTGTTCCTCCCAACAACCCTACTCACTCAAACTGAATTCACTCACGAGCAAGTGGCAACTCTGAGATTCATACCCATGTCTAGCTGGGTTGCAAGCTCACTGTGTACCTTGTCTCCACTATACCACAGTACCACACTGCCTCTCCCTGTCCCCCCATGACACTCCTGCACAGAGGAAGACTGGGCCAATGAATTCTTGTTTGGGTACTGGCTGCCTGGTTTTACTGGGAAGTCAAGGAGTAAGAGTGAGGAGTATGATGAAAATGTAGTTGAAATTATTGACCATGGGGAAACCATGGAGAAATTAGGTGAGGGCCTGTAAGGATGATAATTTGAAGGGACAGAGGGGCTTGGAGGAAGGGGAAGATTTGATGAAGCCCAAGGGACAATTAATGAGAGACTGAACCAGGGCAGGGGCAAAGGGATTGGTGAGGGGGGACATATTTTCGAAAACTTTCTATATGAGGGTAGAGGTAAGAGAAAGTGGTAAGGTGTAGGTGACTCCAGAGTGTCTAGCCCATACAGTTGGTGGACAGTTATGCCTTTCTACATGCAAGGCAGTGACATCATGTCATGCTTCTCTCTTGCTCACCATGGTCTAGACACAATGGCCAGCCCATTTTCATGTCAGGGTCTTTGAAACACTCAGAGCACTCTTTTTCCAGAGATGCAAAAGTAATTCATTCTCATCTTCCAAGTCACAACTCAAACACATGCTCTTCAGAGCGGTCTTTCTTAATCAATCTATCTAATGTAGTTCTCTTGTTGTTGTTGTTGTTGTTGTTTTTCCAGGATGTTTATCACTACCTGAAATGATTATTTATGCATTTGTTTACTTGTTTATTGTTTCTGCCACTAGAGCAGACATTCAAGAGAACAAGGATGTATGGGCCTTCTTCACAGCTTTTTTTCCGACACCTGGAACAATGCCTGGCACATAGTAGACTTTCATGAAATATTGAGAGAAAGGAAAGAAGGAAGGGAAGCAGGAAAAGGGGGAACATGTTTGGGGCAGAGTACATTTTCAGTGTTAGAATGCTGACTTTTGAGGTGCCTGAGAGACACCTAGGAGGTGACCTCCAGTGGGCAGTTGGAAGGCAGACCAGGAGTGCAGGAATAGGTTGTCACTTTGCCCATGAAGAAGGTGGACTCATGTGGCACACTGGTACAAGCACATCCTTTTGCAGAGCTGACTGCCCCTTCAAGGCCAACACTGGGAGTTGACTGGTCTTGGACCCAATGAGAAAAGGAGTCCTTCTGGGTTTGTTATGCTGAAGTTGGGTCAGAGTTTTTCTCACTTTTCTGTTTCCTGTCCTTGCTACTTCCCAGCTTTGGCCATTTTCTATCCTTCTTTGTTGTCAGCTACAAGACCCTGGAGTCTGAATGCAGATTAAATCCTTCATCCCTTTTATCTCAAAGAATATTTCACCCACATCCAACTGCAGAGGCATGAGTCTAGCTTTGCCCAGAAACTGGACTTAGTTTTACTAAATTCGGAAATACTTTTCTCTTGAACCCGGCTCCCGCTCCATTTCAATTGGCCCTGCAGCCCTCTGCCTCCCCCAGGCCATTCAGCAGACCCTGCTGCCCTCTTTTTGCAGGGTCTCCAGCTGCTGAGCAGCTCCAGGACATCCTGGGGGAGGAAGATGAGGCTCCCAACCCTACCCTCTTCACAGAGATGGACACTCTGCAGCATGATGGAGACCAGATGGAGTGGAAGGAGTCAGCCAGGTAAGGTGGAGTCCAAGGGAAGGGAGAAGGGAGCTTCCCACTACAGTCTGCCTGGGGCCCAGGCTGAGCTGACCCTCCTGGTGGGAAGGACAATTGACTAGTGGTATCTTGCACTTTAAGTTCTGCTGGGGCACTTCCTGGTCCCTAAAGACCTCCCCTTCTGCCTTCCCTAGTGTCCAGGACTGGGCTGGACACTAAGGAGCAAACAGATACTTATCACTTTGTCTTTATTCTCAAAGAGGTTAAAATCCAAGTGGAAAAGTAGAACAGACATCCATGAGACCATGAGAGAATAATGCAAGGATATATATCCTTTCTTGTCAAATGGTTCAAACTAAATGCTGTAGGAGAAGGGAAAGCACCAAGGGGGTAGGGTAGGCAGGGAGGGCTTCCTGGAGGAAGGAAAATATATACCATGGAAAATCCAGGTGGGATGGCCAGTGGGCCTCTGAAGAAAAGAGACTCTGCAGAGTTTGGGGTGGGACAGGCAGAGTGGAGCTCTGGAGGCACATATTGGCGGGGGGGGGGGGGGGGGAGAAAAACTGTGTATATAGAGCAGTAGAAGGAAGAGAAGAGTCAGAAAGCTGGAGGGAAACCACGTGGTGAAGTCATGCAGCCAAAAGAGGATTGGAGTAAGGAATAGTGCTGGCCATACACAGTGCTTGGGACAGAGTGGGCTTCTAAATGCACTGCACTGGTCAGCAACACCAAATGATGCCACGAGTCCAAGGAAAAGGAAGGAGGCAGCAAAAAGGGCCAATGGGAGAGGAGGGACCCTGGGAAGGAAGCTGAGAAAGTCCAGAAAATGGACCATACCAACGTTTCTCAACCTTTTTTTTTTTATTGTGCCTCGCCCCTAAGAAATTTTAATTTAAATTAACTTTATTAAATTGGAATTTGATTTAATTTATTCTAATGAGAGGAATTAAATACTAAGGGACATGATTCTGTGAGGTTGGCTTAAACTTTGGAGTGCCACAAACCATGGTAATACCTAAAAAATTTTTTTTGCTCTCCTGAGACCTCTTTGGAGATGATATTGCCCTGGTTGAGAATGCATGGACTAACTTCCACCTGTGCCTAGGACTAGTTCTGCCTGGGAGCCACCAGGATACCCAGATCCTGGCAGCTGCTCCAGCCATGGCCTGGGATCCTTCCTCACCCATCAGCAGTCACTCACCTGGGAAGTAAATCGCTTTATGGAGCGAGGAAGAGGAGGTTTGGACATCCTATACCTCCTCCTTCCAATCTCTCCTGGAACAAATGCCATTGGGTGGATTAACAAATCCCTGCAGGCCTCAGGGAAGGAAGGAATTCCTAGCCTCATGGCTGGCCCCAATCCCTGTCTGGAAGCCCCTGAACCTCTATTTATCAGCCATTCAGTGAGCTCTTTTATATGCTAAATAATTTGTGGGCTCATTTCCCTCAAGCTGCCCAATGACCCTGAGAAGGTGGGAACTATTATTATCCCCATTTTATAGATGAGGATCCTGAGGTTTAGAAGGGCAAATAGCTTACAAGGGTCAGAGTATGCAGGTAGCTGAGTCTGGGTTATAGCCCAGGCCTGTCTGACCCTAACTTGAGGGCTTATGTACTTTGTCATGCTTTCCCCATTTTCTCTGCTACCTCCTTCCATTTCCTCCAACTTCCAGGGACTCTGTTTGTATTTCCATGGGAAGACATAAGTCTGGAGGCAATTCCACTGGGATGGGAAATAAATGGAGACAGCCACAGAGACTAGAGCATCTATTCAGGGCTGAGAAGAAAGGATAGGACATTTCAAATGACCAGAGCTCAGTCTGGGCTACTGTGGCTTAATGCCTCTGAGGAGCTAGTGCTTCCCATCCCTTTCTTGTCCAAGGTGGGCAAGTAAAGAGATGGAACATTGCGAAGGGTCTTCTCAGAGACCCAGTAAGGACTGAGTGCCTTCTTTCCACTGGGCAAGGTCTGCATCCAGGATCACTGGCAACAATTACCAGGACAGACCTTCCATGAGGGCCTATCACACTCACCCACAGAGCCCTTGCTAAGAAATCCTCAGGGCCCTCAGAGACCCAATTGTCTGCCTCTATAGACAATAATAGTGCTTCTAGTTTCTCTGAGAATGAATCCATAGAGCCTTCTACACTATGAACTCTGTAATGAAACTGATAAACTGTAGGTTATGATGTTTCTAGAGGGAGGCTCCTCCTGAAATATAAAGGGATCTGATCTGACAGTTACCATCTGTAAGCTGGTGGGTTTCCCCACAAGCTAGGCTTTCTGAGGATAGCATTTGAGGAGATCCTGGAAGGGTCCTGAATAGACCTCAAACCAATAATGAGAGGACAGTAATGACTAAAAGAAGTCCAAATGGCTTAACCCAATTCCAGATGTGAAAGAGAAGTAGCTTGGGGGCCAATGTGGGGCAGGAAACAGTGGGGAAAAGAGGAGCTCAGACCTCCCTACCTCCCCTTTCTCTACCTTGCCTCCTTTAATCTTTTCTCCAGCTAACCCCATCAGGTTTCCAGCTCACTGTTGGAGGTATGACCAGCAAGCTTGTAAAAAGATCAGGGGAAAGGCTTGACCATTGGCCAACAAGTCCACCTTGGCCTGGACAGTTGTGCCAGAGACTCCTCCAGGCAAACTGCAACAGTAGAGGTGCTTAGGGCCAGGCCACACCCCCACAAAAGAATGGGAAGCATTTCCCTCAGCTGACAGGCTGTGAGATCTACTCCGGGAAGCCAGAGGTCTTAGAAGTTTCCAGAATCCAAGAATCTGCAAATCCCAGTGGGTTCTGGGGCTCCTTGGGGTAACAGGAGAAAATGATGGTGTTTCAGGGGTTGACAACCCCTCACACAGACACTCAGGCCCTAGGAGGGTTGCAGGCCTATACCCACATCAAAGAGAATGGAGGAGGGGACCCTTTAATAAAAGTACTTAATTTGCTGCAGGAGTGTTTGCTTTATTGAGTTAGGAGATTAACAGAGTAAAAATCTCAAATCCGCAAGGAATTTTCCCTGGTGGTGCTTTGTCAGGGGTTATTAGTTTGGGGGATGTTTTGAGCCCTTGGAGAAGGAGTCACCCCTGGATGGATTTAAATGGCTTTTTGAGCTCCACTGAAGCTTTGCTCCTATGCACATGATGGGGACTGTGTGTGCAGGCGTCATTTCTAATGTGATCAATGCTGGTAGGTCAGGCTGTTAATAAGATAGATTTTTACTAACTCAGTCTCTTTAGCATTCCCAGGAGGAAAATGCAGCTGGCTGTTTGCTGATACTGACCTTGCCTGAAGGGAGGGCTGGGTCAGGTGGGTGGGGGCACCCTCCCCCCCCCTCACTTCTAGCAAACAATTTACCCAGAATTCCATCCTCTCTCAAGAGTCTGCCTGGCTGCAAGGACAGAAAGAGAAGGAGAATGACCTGGGCTGGAACCCACCCAAGTGTGGAGAGTCCTTTGAGGTTACTCAGAAATAGCTGGAGCTTAGAGCCTTCCAAGAGTTCTGAAAGCAAATTCCAAATCCAAGCTGCCTCTGATCTCAACTCAGAGAAAACCAAAAGTGAACTTTCCAGAGGTTCTTATGAGACACATATGCATTGAGAACATTCCTGCAATGACCAGGAATGGGCAGAAAGAAGGGCAGGAAAAGTGGGTCAGCTTAGTTGGGTAGAACCATATCAGTTTATTTTCAAAAGCATCCTACATGTGGAGATGTTTGCACACTCCCATGTGATGGAGGGGAAAGCCTGAACTTTGCCTCAACTTTGAAACTGCTCCCACTTAAGATCTTGAAGAATGCCCTCCTAGTATCATTTCCCTGATTATCTGGAGTAGAATCCACCCCCAGACCTCTGGTCTCACCACTTACCTGGGATCATGCTTGTGGGGCCAGAGCTGCCTACTTGTATGGAGTAAAGCAGAGTAGGAAGCTGAGAGCTCTTAGCACAGAAGTCAGGAAACCTCCTTCATTCATTTAACTAATATTTACAAAGTGTTTACTGTCTGTAAACTTGAGCCAGGTGCTGGAGATACAAAAATGAACATGACAGATGCCATCCCTGCTCACTTGGGCTTTCAGTCCAATGGGGCACAAAAGGCATATTATCCAGACAGGCATTTGATGAGGGGGGTTCTGTGAAAGCACAGTGTAGGGACACCTAGCCCAGACAGCAGGGGCTAAGAAGACATCCAGGAGGAAAAGGTGTTCACACTGAGACCTGAAAGTTGGGCCAAAGTTAACCAGGAGAGGGTATGGAAAGGGGAAGAGGAGAGGCCTCTGGAACACAGAGGAAGGGGCAGAAATTGCCTGTGGCTGTGCTAGAGTAAGGGCTAATCGTGGAGGGCCTATGCAGGCCATGTTGTGGAGCTTGAATTTGATGCCGAGAGCTTTGGAGGGCCACTGAGGGGGAGAGGAGCAGGATTGTCTGTTTGAGAGAGTCTGCTCTGGCTTCAGTGTGGAGAATATATAAAAGGAGGCAAGACTGGGCCTGTTAGGAGGCTGGACTAGGTGAGAGATGAGACCCTGGACCAAGACATTGGCAGTAGGAACAGAGAAAGGGGGTGGATTTGAGACATATTTTTTTAGCATATAAGTTTATATATATATTCCTTTTAGATATATTTTTTTAGAACAGTTTTAGATTCACAACAAAATTGAGAAGGTACAGAGTTCCCATATGCCCCCTGCCCCTGAACATGCATAGCCTCCCTTGTGACTGACAGACATCCTCCATGACAGCAGTACATTTGTCACTACTGATGGGCCTACATTGACACATTATCACCCAAAGTCCATAGGTTATGTTAGGGTTCACTCTTGGTGTCGTACCTACTATGGGTTTGGACAACTGTATAAAGACATGTAGCCACCATTATAGTAACATACACGGTAGTTTCACTGCCCTAAAGATCTGCTCATTCATCTCTCTCTCCTCCCTAATCCCTGGCAACCCCTGATCTTTTTGCAGGATTTGAGACCTATCTTAAAGGGTAGAATTTTGATAGGACTTAATGACAGATGG